ATCAGGCAGGGAAACAAGCAGGGGAGAGACAAGCGGTCATAAATCAGGGGGTCTGGTTTTGGTGCTAGCCTTGGGAACTTCCGTCTGCCCCAAGAATGTCAGGGACCTAACATGAGCTATATCCCCAAACTCTGCTTTACAGTTTTTTTTTTTTTTTTGCCTACTTTATGTTTGTTGAAATTGCCAAGGTCTTTTTTTTTGGCATTTTCAAGAAAGAGGTCGTTGCACATGCAATTCCCTATATCTAGCCATCTTCTTGTCCTGATGATCCCTCAGATCCTCCTGTCTTTTCCAGAATTTCAGTTGCCTGGATTTCAGTCCACAGCAGTATGAAAATACTAAATGGAAAATCCAGAACTAATTCATAAGATTTAAACTGCATGCAGTTCTATATAGTGTCATAAGCCTAGGATGTGAATCATCCCTTAGTCCAGGGTATCCATGCAATCAATACATGCTACATACTTCTTAGTCACAATAGTAGATGTCTTGAGTATCAGGTCAACTGTCTTGGTATCTCAGTGCTTGTGTTCAAGTAACTCTTATTTTACTTAATAATGGCCCCAAACTCAGGAATTCTTTCTTTCTTTTTCTTGGTGGGACTGGGGTTTTAACTCAGTGCTCTGTGCTTGCAAAGCAGGCATTCTACCACTTGAGCTACATCTCTGGTCCATTTTGCTCTGGTTATTTCTGGGGTCTCACAACTATTTGCCCAGGGTGGCCTTAAACCATGATCCTCCTGATCTCAGCCTCCCAAGTGGCTAGGATTACAAGCATGAGCCACTGGTGCCTGGCTTGTTCTCTTTTTATTAGTATTTGTTAATATCTTTCTGTGCCTAATTTATTAATTAATGTTTATCATAGGTATGTGTGTATAGAAAAAAAATTTTGTACAGGAATTAATACTATTCAGGATGTCAGGCATCCACTAGAAGATGGGGGAGGGGGAGGAATTACTGTATTTACAATGGCATATAAAAAGTGACTTGTTACAGGGGCCAGAACAAAGATGAGAGACATGAAAGTTCTCTGAAAAAAGTAGTATGAGTGAGCAGAATTTTTATTCCTATCTCAATGACTATATTGATCCCCCCAATACCAGGAAGTTTTTGCCTCTTATGGGCAAGGAAACACTTTTAAACTTTGTTCAGGTTCAACAGTGCCAAGGTTGGCCCTTTGCCTCCTTCTGGACTAGAGAAAGGTCAACCTATTTCTCATGAACAAGGTTCCAGTATTTCTATTCTATGTTATAGGCTGGATGGGCCAGGGGTGGCAATTGGTGGTGATGGGCTTGAAAATGCATCTGCATAATGCCTTACATAAGGTTAACCAAACAATTATTTTGTATATCAGATGGACGCTAATGGGGGCTTCCAGACCTTTCCATGAGGACCTCTTTGTTAGTAGTACTACTCTTGTTCTTGCTTTTCTTTCTTTCCTTTCTTTTTGTTGGCGGTGCTGAGAATAGAACCTAGGGCTTTGCACATATTAGGCAAGCACTCTACCACTGAGCTATATCCTCAGCCCTGTTCCTACTTGTTGCCCATCTTTCTGGGGAGAGGGCAAGGACAGCGACAAGAAAATGTCTTGTGTTCTAAGGGTGTGGGTGATAATGGGGAAACTGTCATTTATTAAAGCTCTAACACATCTATACACTATCTTACTTAAGCCTCCCAGCTAGCTTATGAAGCAGCTGTTACTATCTAATATAGGTAGATAGCAGTAAATAACACCGTCTTTTGGAACAGGAAGACCATGGTCTTGCCAGTTGTGTGGGCCTGGGTAAGTTTAGTTTAAGATTCAGTTTCTTCATCTGTAAAATGGGTAACAAGTTCAAAGGTTGTTGGATGCTCCGTAAGTGAGATTTAGATGCCATTAGAGAAACGTGATCAGGTTTGGTAATTTGCTCAAGTTCACATAATTTGGTAAATGGTAGACTTAAACTTCAGATTCTGGTTTAATCTAACTCTACAGCCAATGTTCTTTCCCACAACCACTTTGTAATTTGCTATAATCATCTTTAACGAGTCCCATTTAGCCCTTTGGGACTCTGATTCCTCATATGCAAATGGGGATGTTATTTTATAGAGTTCATTCATTAAACTCTTGCGCAAGGTGTGCACGTAAGGGCATACTGCAGCTCCCTCCTCTCTCCTTTTCATTCCACGTAGGCCATTTAGCCTTAACTTCTAAATGGACTCCACAAGCACTTAACCACCCGGGCGCAGCTGCACAAACATTCTTACTGCACTCAGATTCCCCTTTATTTCCTCTTTCCTCTTCCACCTAGGCTCTCGCCCCACCCAGCGCAAGAACACGCCCCAGCGTGTGACGTCAACACGCCCCGTGCGTCGCGGCGCGGCGCTTACTGGGGGCCCGGCTTTCGCCCGCTGCTGCCGCCGCCGCCGCCGGCCGCGGCTGCTCTCCCAAGATGGCGGCTCCTCCGGGCGAGTACTTCAGCGTTGGGAGCCAGGTGTCGTGCCGGACGTGCCAGGAGCAGCGGCTGCAGGGCGAGGTGGTGGCCTTCGACTACCAGTCCAAAATGCTGGCTTTAAGTATCCTTCTCTGCGTGGAGCCCGAGGCCGGGCCGGCGTGTAGGTGCGGTGGTGGGGGGTGGGGGACGACGGTGGCGACTAGGGCCCTCTCCGGGCCTAGGGGCGACCGGCTACGGCGGCGCCCGGGGCGCATGCGCACGGCCCTGAGCTCCCCCTCCCCCTCCCAGGGACCCTTCGGTGTGCTTTGGGGACCCTGTCTCCCACCCCATGCGGGAGCCAGGCCCCAACCCAGGGCTGGTGGGTGGAGTGGGATTTGACACGCGGGTGGCTTTTAGCTGTGAGAGGGGACACACTGATTAGGAGAGGACGTGGTGGTTGTGGGAGGGGGTTGGTGGATTGGAGCCTGGATGAGGGGGTTCGGTAACAAGGGTAGGGGGTGTGTAGGGTAAGGAGCTGCTAGTAGGGCAAGGGTTTGGAATTTAGGAGAGGGGTGTCTGCTGATGGGATTTGGTCAAAGAAAGGGAGGTGGGATGGTGACCAAATGGGCCTTGCCTGCTTTGGGGAAGAGTAACTGCAGGACAGAGTTTGTATCTGAAGTGTGGCAGGCTTTGCTGGTGCCTCTGGATGCGTGGTGCAGTTGGGTGTGTGTGCGTGCTGATTTTCAGGTTTCTCAGTCATTTGGAAATTGCTGTTTGGGGGATGTTTGGATTGGAAGCCTGGTCCAGAGAGGGCTTGCCACGTTTTTCAGGAGCTTATGTATGAATGTGTGGGTTACAGGTGACAGAGTAAGTTCTCATTTTCTTCTTGCGTAGTCCAACAGATGAACTCCTGACTTCCATAATAGTGTTCTCCTTTTTAAAGTACCGGTGTTAAACTGACTGGCAGAGGTGGCCTGCTACTTTAGTGTGGAAATGATTTCTGAATTACTTCAGCAGACGCACTCTTGGAAACCAAATGCTTCCTGGTTGGGATAAATATGCCACCGCGTCCCCTTTTATTTGAGCTACAGGTGGGTTTACTTTGATTTTTTTTTATTACTTACTTATTTTTTAAGGTGTAATCTTTGCAAATGAAGTTTCCTACTGAATCTGCTGCCTTTGACAAGCATTTTAATCCATTAAGCTAGACTTCTAGCTTAGGAAGACGTCTTCTTAAACTAATTTCCACAAGGCAGTTGCTTTTTCTTTTTTTAAACATGAAGTTATACCTGGTAAGACTTTTTACTTTAGTGGTTTAAGTTGGCAGGGTCTTGAAAGGAGGGCTTACTCTTTTTCTAATTGGTGTACAACAAGGTCTTAGTAAGTAGCTGAAGAATGAATGAATGGATGGATGGATGGATGAATTAACTAGGTGGGGCACCTTGGGTGAATTTCCTTTCCAGTGCTCTAATTTTCTCCTCTGCAAAATGGGTAATCACAAGTCTGAAAAAATTAAGGGCTCTATACAGATAGAGGGAGTATTATACCAAGAACAGAAAGTTCTTTCTCCTCTGTGTGTTCATAGGTTCAAGACAAATGGTGTATCTAAGGCATCAAAACTGCATTATGCCTCTGTAACACCCAAAGAGAGAAAGTGACAGGAACACCTTGCAGGCTTTCAGTTTTGGGTTGTGTATGAGTTTGAAAAGTTTGAGATCTTTTGGTTATGGGTTTGGGCAGGAGGAAGGTGACAGCAGAGATTTTTTGAAGAGAGCTATGAATCTGGTGAAACCCTTTTGCTGTGGCATGTCTTTTACACAGGCCTGTGTCTGTTGTGTATGCCTCTGCTTGCCCTGTTTTCCTTAACTTTATTTTCTCACCAGAATGTCCCTCTTCCAGTGGAAAGCCCAACCATGCAGACATCTTGCTCATAAACTTACAGTATGTTTCAGAAGTGGAAATAATTAATGACCGAACAGAAACCCCTCCTCCCCTAGCTTCACTCAATGTTAGTAAGGTAAGGACTCAAGGGCAGGTCTGGCTCTCCAAAATGGTGGGAAAGATGAGTCTTAGACTGTTGGTGGTATTTACATTGTTGTCTTTCTGTTTTTTTCTTTAAATGACTTAAAATAGTTTGTTCTAGTATCTTTAAAAAAAAAATACATTTGTTTAATTTTTCTCTTTACTCCTGGATATATTCAGTACATCTTAAGAAATATTTTGGACTGGGGGTATGGCTCAGTGGTGGAGCGCTTGCCTAGCATGTGCCAGGCCCTGAGTTGGATCCCTATCCCCCTACCCCACAGACACACAACACACACACACACACCACACCACACACACACACACACACACCACACCCCCCCCCCCCACACACACAGCCTTAATACCCAAGATAGAATTGAGGGCTTGCTTTTGCCCTAAATGAAAGGGACTTTTTTTTTTTTTTAATAGCTTGGAGTCTGTGCGTGAACTTCTGGTAGTGGTGGGATTGGATAAGGGGAGCTTCCTGTTAATTTCCTAAAATTGTGGGATGTGAATATGTGCACACGTGAAAATATGTGTTTCTTGGGTGAAGATCTGGTATATTTTTCAAATTCCAAGGGATTTATGACCTGCAAGAGTTTGAAAGGCACTGTCTTAAGAGTTTCATTTTGTCTTCTTGAATTTTTAAGTCTAACACCTCATTAGATGTTTAGGATATTTTAATCTTGGATGTACAGATTGATCCCTGGGAAGCACAAGTCACTTTTTTGACTCTTCAGTTTGATTAGCTGTAGAGTTCATGTTGATCAGTAATAGTAATGTCTTCAGCTTTGTAGTAGCCTGTGCTGTCTCCTTTTAGAATAATTGGAGCCTTGTCCATCAGGTCTCAGTTAAATGGCACCTCTTCCAAGAAGTCTTCTCTGATCACCAAGGCTAAAATAATTTGCCTCCATTATTCTCTCTGTTCTCCTTCACATTTAAGGTGATAATATCACTTAGCACTGCTTGGGAATTTTTGAGAGTAAATGGTGATACTTTTGTTTTACACTGGGACCACAGGTATAGGTGTGTCCTGGGCAGATTGAGATCTAAGGTTACCCTATGCATAGCCTTTTTGTAATTATAATTATGTATTATTTGTTTACTTTTCTATTGTCCTTCGCACCAAACTTTATCCAATGAGGATGCATACCATACCTGTTAGGTTCACTATTGAAATACACACATTGTACAGAGTAGGTGCTTAATAGATATTTGTTGGATGTACAAGTTATGCCTTCAATTTTAGTAGCAACTGTCTTTCCTAAAGTATCTGGAATTAACATGGTGGAAGTTTTTCCCTCTAGAGGAGTCGTAATAATGTATATTCTCTTGCCTCTCTTGGAATTATGGTGTGTTCCCTACAGTTCAGCAAAGCAAAGAAACACTTAGGTGGCTTCAACAATAGAGGATAGTGAATGTAGTTACCTCAGATCTGGAAGTCCCTTGTCATATTCCAGGAGAATGCCACTCGTTTTTTAGTGATAGCCAAGGACAGATTTGGAAGGGTCTTGGGTTTCATGTTGAAGGCTTTTGTATTCAGGGTGTCCCATTCTTTGAAGCTTATAGATTTTTAAAACCCTAGCTGAGTTAGATACTTCCTATTAGTGGGTAGGAGTGCCTTGGGTGGTCTTCAGATATCTCCTATTATAGTATAGGAGCTCTTTGGGTGGTCTTTATGAAATTTTAAAAGATTTGAATGAAGTAATTTATTCCTAGTATGTTAAAGAGAACAATAGTCTCTAAGTTATCCTTTGGGGTTTAGAGGGTATGAAAAGTCTGTCAGTGGCCCTTCAGTGAATAGTAGAGAAAAGATTATATGAAAGAAGAAAGATTTAAAGATCATAGATTTCTGCTCTTGTGACCAAGTGTCACCATTTAGATGGATTGGAGTGGTGTGTGTGGCATTGTTACTAACAAGAAATCCTCTTTTTATATTTGACTTAAAATGTTGGTAGCTCTTGGTTATTTAGTTGGTAGATTATCTTTGCTTTTAGTGTTTTGCTTTCTGCTGATCAGTTTTAGTTGTTTGCTAGCATCATTATAAACTAGTTATTTGCCCACTTTTACAAGAAAGAGGCGGGGAGTAATAGCTTGGGGAGTACCAGAACTCTCTACTTTTCATACTGTTTGGCTTGCTTGCCAAGTTTTGAAAAAGGTTTTTTGGGAAGAGAAGAAACTAAAAACTAAAATTAGGTTAGAGGGTTATCTTTGGATTTCATTTATTCATTCTTCCCTTTGCAGAGATATTTATGAGTAAGCTGTATTTGCTTTCCCTTAAAACCAACCTTTCAGGATGCTTTGGCGATTCCTACTCGAAGACTGATTTAGAATTAGAGAGTGCCTGCTGTGCTGTTACTGAAAACAGCTAATCTGGGCAGCTATTTACACATTGCTTGAGTGACATGAAAAGTTCATCCCATTTGTAAGAGCATGGGCATGGGTTTTCTTAAGATGGAGGATTGTTTAAACATGTGGAAGGGAGCTAAAGCTTTCAGAGGTGCCAGGAAGAAAACTTGCAGTGCAGTGCTTTGGGGGAGTGCTGTTGATATTCATAACTTCTAGTGGAAGATACTGTCATGTGTTAGCTCAGTTTACTGTCATAGTAAGTGAGTGCTCTGCCTGATTAAACCTGTTGATATAAACTGGATATTTGTTTATTTCAGTGCAGCAGGAACTAGAAGAGGACTTTTAAAGGAACTACTTAATAACAACTCAACTAGAGAAGGTATAAACTAGCAACTTCTTGGAAGTGAACCTGTTTTGCTTTCAGTTGGCAGGTCACTGTAGGCTAAGAAGTTTAGTGTCTATTCCCAGCAGTGGGATGGAAGAGGAAGCTTGGGGGAGAGGACAGTGGGGCTGCAGTGGGGAATATCTTTGTGTGTGTGGTGGTAGAACTCAGGGCCTAGAACATTCTAGGCATGTATTATACGGTTGAGCTTCCCTCTCAGTCTTCTAATACCATTTTTCTTCTCCATAATAATGATGTACCCTGTTAAAATGTTCCAGATTTCCTAATTATAAGACAAAACATTCAAATTAACATACAAGAGCATAATTAAGTCAGTCATAAGTGAGGTCTGGTTATTCACTATTATGTCTCATTCTTTTTTCTTTTTTTTTGGTGGTACTGGGGTTTGAACTCAGGGCCTACACCTTGAGCCACTTCACCAGCCCTTTGTCATGATGGCTTTTTCGAGATAGTGTCTCCTGAACTATTTGCCCAGCCTGGCTTCAAGCCTCAATCCTCCTGATCTCTGCCTCTTGAGTGGCTAGGATTACAGTCATCAGCCACTGGCACCCAGCTTTATGTCTCTCTCCTTCCTTTCTTTCTTTCTTTCCTTCCTTCCTTTCCTTTCCTTCCTTCCTTCCTTCTTTCCTTCCTTTCCTTTCCTTTCCTTCCTTCCTTCCTTCCTTCCTTCCTTCCTTCCTTCCTTCCTTCCTTCCTTCCTTCCTTCCCTCCCTTTCCTTCCTTCCTTCTTCTTTCCTTTTTCCTTTCTCTCTCTCTCTCTTTCTTTCTTTTTTTTAAATTTGAGACAGGATCTTGCTGTGTAGCCCAGGCTGGCCTTGAACTCCAGATCTTCCTGCCTTAGCCTCCTAAGTGCTTTACCACAGGTATGTACCACCATGCCCAGTTGAGGCTCATTATTCTTAGTTTACTCTTTCACAGAGAAAGGCTTAAACTTTGCTTGGGGGACAAGAAACCTAGGAGCTTCCTGGTAGAGTCAAGTAGGATTTTTGTGTGTGTGTGTGTGTGTGTGTTGCTTTTTGTGTGTGTGTGTGTGTGTGTGTGTGTGTGCTGTGTGTGTGTGTGTGTGTGTGTGTGTGTGTGTTGCTATGGTTTGAACTGAGGACCTACACTTTGAGCCACTCCACCAGCCCTTTTTTTGTGACAGGTTTTTTTGAGATAGGGTCTTGTGGAACTATTTGCCTGGGCTGCCTTCGAACCGTGATTTTCCTGACCTTTGCCTCCTGAGTAGCTAGGATTACAGGTGTGAGCCACCAATGTCCGGCAGAATGTTTCTTAACCAGTACTTTGAATTGACTCAGAATTTTATACTGTGGGGATAAAGATTACACATGGGTTAGTATTCTCAGGAGATAATTCAGTACAGAGCAACATTAACCAGGTATTTTGTGTAGCATTTATCAAATATTTACTAACAATCAGGACTGGGGTGTGGCTTATGGTAGAGCACATGCTTAGCATGCTTAAGGCCCCTGGTTTGATCCCTAGCACCAAAAACCTCCACATTTCCTAAAAATCTGTTTTGTGTAAGCTCTATTTGAGACCATACCTTACATTTTTCTAGTGCTTTACAGTTTACAAAGAGCTTTGACATGACTTACTTCATCCTCACAACTACCCTGTGTGGTCTTTAGAGTGTTTTTTTCCTGTTAGTTTAACAGATGGGAAAACAAGCTTATCAGTTTGAGTAACTCCTTTAAGGTCATTTGGCTAGTGGTGTGGGAAATATTTACATGTTGTATTCTGAACTAGCAGTGGACAGACATCTCATTTGTTGTTGGTTTTTTTGTTTTGTTTTGTTTTTTTACAGTACTGGAGTTTGAACTCAGGGCCTTATGCTTGCTGGGCAGGTACACTATCACTTGAGCCATGCTCCCCGCCCTGGGTGGTGTTTTTTAGGTTTTTGTTTTGTTTTGTGGTATGTGTGTGTGTGTTTTGCTGGGGTCAAACTCAGGGCCTTGTGCATGCTCAGCAAACACTACTACTGAGCTATGTCCTCAGCCTAGTCTCATTTAGTCTTAACAATAGTTCTTATGGTTGTCATCTCACAAAAGAGTAAGCAGGCTCAGAGACAATGAATCATGTGCTTAAGGTCATATAGCTAATAAGTGATAGAATTAGGATTTAAACTCACCTTAAATTTTTATGGCAGTGTCTCATGTTTTTCCTACCTCTACACTTAGCCCAAGTAACTCATAGAGTAGTTTGGCAAAATGAAATGAGTACTCAGATATCTATAATAA